GGAGCCACATCTCACACTATACACAAAATCAACTCAAAGTGTATTAGAGAACTGGGAGTAAAGCCCCAAACAAAAAAGTTCAGAAGATAAGGTAGGACTAAGCTTAGAGGCTGACAAATACAGTAATAAATGCACAATCTGGAGAGTATAAAATTGATCAATGGGACCTTCTAAAAATTAAATCTCTGTGCTCATCGAACAATTATTCCAAGAGGGTGCAAAGATATCTTATTGACTAGGAAAAAAAAATTGGCAGTACCATCTCAGACTTGAGTCTCAACAAAAGTTTACAGAATACTCTTGGGTCTCCAAAAAAGAAAGACTGATAAAACAATTACAAACTGGCCAAAAGACTTTTCACAGAGGAAGATATTTGGATGGTCAATAGACACGTGATAAAGTCTCAGAATCACTGGCGAGAAAAGAGATGCAAATAAAAACCACAATGAGATTCCATCTCACTCAAGTTGCAGTGGCAAAATTTAGCAGGAAAGCAAATAATAAATATTGGAGAGAATGGGGAAATGTGGGATCTCTAAAACACTGTTGGTGAGATTGTCAAATGGTACAACTATTCTGGAAGACAGTTTGACATTTCTTCAAAAAGTTGAACATAGAAACTCCATATAATCAAGCTATTTTCCTACTAGGAATATACCTCAAGGAAATTAGAACCGAGGCATAAATGAAGATTTGTACACCATTGTTCATATGAGCACGATTCACCATTATAACAACATAGACACAGCCCATATGTCCAACCTCAACTGAATGTATTGAGAAATTTTGGTACATGTACACAATGGAATACTATGCCGCACTCAGAAGCAATGATGGTGAGCAAACTTAGTGTCCTAAGGACAAATACTTCATGTTGTAAAAAAAATTAAGGATAATTAGTAAAACACATATGAGGAGTCAAAGGGAAAAGGAAAGGGTGGGAAAAGGGAAAAGGAAGGGGTGAGGAAAGGAAAAAGAATGGGTGAGGATGAGAAAGGGCAAAACCACAGGATTGCAGAATTTGGATAGTGGAAGGAGAGGGTAAAGGAAATGGGCGAGATTCGGTGGGGACCTGAAAAGACAAGTTAATGGTGGACATACTCCAGTGGAGATTAATTTTATAAAACATAATTCATAGGAATAATTGTATGAAAAACCATGTAAGAAGAAAAATATGAAACTATATATATACTTTGTAAGCAAACCAATATAAAATAATTTTTTTAAAAGGAATATTTATAGGACCAAAAAAGTATCTAAACAAGATCAAAGATGAAATTCACAATAGTAGCATCCAATAAATATTTACTAGCCTTGAGAAAGTGGATTTCAGAAAGTACCATATGCACAAGTGCCAATGGTACTAAAAGAAGTTGAAAGATGCCCTGTCAGTTTAGGTGATAAGGCCACAGTCATTGAAAATCCAGTTACAGTACAACATTTTCTACCTTGCATACCTGGGACTATTGAGAGTCAGGTCCAAGTCAAGGCAACTAACAACAACAGCGCATTAAATCTGCGTGTTTCTGTCTTAATTCTTTTTCATACTTCATAAATCTGCCCATAATCACAACCATCTACCTTTGCTCAGTGCTTCATTATTTTCTTATTGGGGCATTCCTTAAAAGCTCTTGGTGGATTTTTTTCTTTGGTCTACTCATCACTTTTTTTCCCTACTTGCTTTATCATACCTAATAAGGCAAAATATCATAGTTATTATATTCCAATTGACTCCTTTGTCCATAAAATGACCAATTATATTTCATAACCAAGTTGATGTAAAGACAAATATATTGATATTATAGTTTAAATTATTCTATTAAACATTATTGTCCTCTTTTTTCTTTTAATTTTAGGCAAAGTGAAAATATGTCAAGACTCTCTAAATCATTGTTAACCTCTTCTTTACCAGATATTTGGGTTATGAAATGAGTTGTTGTTATTGTTATGGGCCATCAAGTTGCCTGCGACTCATAGTGACCCTATGTACAACAGCCCTAAACCCTGCTCCATCCCTTGCCAATCTTTTTGTCTCCAATATGCCTATCCCCATTACCCAGTGACTGAATCAATCCATGTCATCTAGGGTCATCCTCTCCTGTGCTGTCCCTCCACCACCCTCCCAAGCATGAAGTCCCTCTCCAAGGACTGATCCCACCTTACAACATGTTCAAAGTATGTCAGATGGAACTTCAGAATCCTTGTCTCCAAGGAATAGCCTGGCTTCACCTCTTCAGGATGAACTTGTTTGTTCTCCTAGCAGTCCATGATATATTCAATACTCTTCTCCAGCACCGAAGCTCAAAGGCAGCAACTCTCTTTCTATCATCCCTAGTCATTGTCCAGCTCTCTGATGCATTAGCAAGTAATGGCAAAGACCCCAGACATTGTTGCTCTTCAATACTTTGTAGAGGTCTCTGACATCCAACTTTCCTAATGCAATTCATCTTTTAATTTCCTGGTTACTGGTACCAAGAATGTTGATTGTAGAGCCAAGCAAACTGAAGCTGTCAACAATCTCAATCTCACCCAGTGGTGAGAATATTTGTTTTCTTGATGTTGTGCTTCAATCCATACTGAAGGCTGCAGTCCATGACCTTCTCAGCAAGTGATTCAGTTCTTCCTCAGTTTCAACAAGTAGGGTAGATAAAAATAAAATTCATAGTAATACTTTCAGTGAAGAACTACCAGAACAGATTTTTAAACTTCTCAAACCATTATGCAAGTTTAATCAGTTAGTTTCTCTACATTTTCCTGTGCTTGAGTTGCTATGGTTTCATCTTTGTTCATAATATAGTTTTCATGACAATTTGCTGTGCAAGAGATGAAGAAGCATATCATTGAGAGACCCTCAAACTTGATGGATACTTATTCATCATGATTCCTAGTTGTGCTGTGAAAAATACAAATCTGATTTCAGATTTTTTCTAAGAGAGAAAAACAACAGGAGAAATAAAACTAGTAAAGGAATGAAGGGAGAAACAGTTACATTTTATAAATAATAATTATACAGTTTAAATACCTAGGGAGTTCTAGTGGCCTGGTGGTAAGAAACTGTACTGCTAGCCCAAAGGCACTTGTTTCCAATCCACCAGCTGCTCTGTAGAAGAAATATTTACAGTCTCCTCCCATGTGAATTACAGCCTCTGATCCACTGGAAGGTCATCTATGAATCAGTTTTGATTCAACTACACATAAGAACAACGAACAGCAACTTGCAGCTGAGGCCTTAGATATGGTATTCTGATCCTTAACATCCCAAAGATCTACTGTCTTCATTGCACAATATGTGTGCTGTGCTGTGCTTGCCATTGTGTCTGATTCCCTTCTCTGATACTGGGATAGGTATGGGAGTGCTCTAGAAAAGAGTCACCTTCATGAAGGCAGATACAAAAGTAATGAGAGAACCAAATCTAACTGTGGCTGCTGCTGATACTGCTGATTCTTTCCTTGACACACCAACACCAAAGGCAGGACTGGGATGGGCATGAGGTAGGAGGAGGAGCAGAAGGCCCCTGCTAGGGGTCAGAGTTTCATTCCAAGACTCTTTGATGCTTCATAGAGTTGTACTTCCCAGGACAGCATCCAAATCAGGGATCTAAGTTGGAATTTTTCATGTTATTTCTTCAATTATTTATTTCCTTCAAATATGTATTACATCTCCTTCAGTATGAATTACAATATTAATTTCCTTCAATATGGATTACATTTTAGAATCAAGAAGACAAAAATCATTCCTACTGGGCCAAGAGACAACATCATAATAAATGGAGAAAAGGTCTAAATTGTCAATTATTTAATCTTATTTAGATCAACAATCAATACCCCTTGTAGCAGAAATTAAGAATAAAAAGATTTAGTAAATCCTTCTGCAAAATAGGAGACCCACAAAAATGAGGCATTTTAGAAATGAAATGGAAACTTTTTAACTGAATGAGTAGAATCTGTATTTATGTTTGTTTGTGTGTCCTTTATTTGCAATTAGAACTGGAATCGTAAGTAGTAAATTTTTCATTGGTGTGGAAATTTAATTTCTTCAAGATAGCAATCAATAAATTTGAATATGCTTGAAAACAGTATCAAAAATGCATATTTTCAGTGTTTTAATATAAAGTATACCTTTTTAAAGTAAATTACAAAAATAAAAAGAAAATAGAGAAGTATTAGACATTTTAATTGTTAAAATAAAGGAAATACTTATTAAAAAAAAAGAAAGAAAAAGATTTATTGCATTTGAAAATTCTACTATCAGGGGTCTCTTCAAAATACTGAGGAACAATGTTGTCAGCTTAAAAACCTGATTAAGGCCATGATATTTCCAATCACCTATTATGTATCAGGGAGCTGGACAATGGATAATGGTGACAGAACTTATACCTTTGAGTTGTGGTATTGGAGATGAGTACTGAATATCCTATGAACCAAAGAACAGACATATACTGTGGACAAAGTACAGCCATAATGCTCCTTAGAGGTAATAATGACGAAGCTTCACCTCACATATTTCGGGCGTGTTGTTAGGACATCATGCTTGGAAAGGTAGAGAGTCAGTGAAAGAAAGGAGATCTGACACAATGACTGCAATTAGCTCAAGTGTATCAGAGATGATAAGGATAACACAGAATAGGACAGAGTTTAGATCTGTTGTTCATAGAATCATTATGAGTTATACTTGAGTTGATGGCACATAACAGTAGAAACTTTTGTTTCCAATAATCATGGGAATGTGCCAATCTGTGGTAGTGGCAAGCTGAGTCAAGGTGAAAATCAGGGAATCAATCACCTGTTCTTTTCCTAAGACTTCTTATAAGAACGACAACGAAGTCTTAAGAGCAACATCAAATCAAACAACACAAACCTTAAAGTTTTCAAAATTCTAGTAAAGAGCAAATACCTTGGAACAATCACCCTCCTTTCACTGGCCCTCCCAACCCCACATCTTTGTGACTTTCTGCTTGCCTTTTGCTCCTGTACCATTTCACCCCCTTTTGCACTTGCAGGGTCTGGAATTTGCAGGGTTCACAGCACATATGTTTGTGGGTATCTTCTTCATTCTCCTGACCTCCTTCCCCTTCCTCCGTCTCTTGTATTGGAACAAAAAGCTTTACAACAAGGAGCCCAGCGAGATTGTGGGTGAGTACTGGCCCCTCTTTAGAACTTAATGACATAAACTTATATTTATAGGACAAGTTATCTCCAAAATATGAGTTGATTTACCATCCTCAGAACATTGGGAAGTGTAGAGTACAGGAATACTATATGCTAAACCACTAACTTTTTACTGTACTTTTGGAGAATTTATGAACCACGTCTCTGCAGTTCTCTATCAAGTGAGGTGGAGGAAGTGATGATCCCCCTATTAAGTGAAATGGTGTAGCATCACAAAACAAAACAAAACACCAAACCTAAACAAAACACTGCTTGCAATGCAAGTAACTTAACATTCACTATAGTGGTCTAGAATGTAATAGTTGAGCACTACATATAATAGCAAAATTGGTGACATAATACAGTTATTGTCAATCAAAGGCCCTTTGAGGAGTCACCAGCTAGCATGAAGAATTGTGGTTATCATATTATTGCTTTGCATTTTCCTCATATAAGAATTTTGGTAGATATTTTATTGAGAAGAGCACCAATTCAGATACATTAGGGGAGCTAAGTTATTTGGAAAATAACTGCCCTTGGCAAAGTCCAGTGTGTGGGTGATGGGAAGATTGTTGGCTAATAACTACCTCTGGATTGGCCAGAATGTTGTTGATAGCTGACTCTCCAGCAAGTTTTCAGAGGCAGTAAATCACATGGAAGAAGATTGTTAATCTTTCTGCACAGAGCAGCTGGTGGATTTGAACCACGTCTTTCGACTGGCAGCTTAGTTCCTTGCCACTAAGCCACTGAGCTCCCTAGAATAGGTGACAATAATGCTTTACCTCCTTTTGAGATTTCATGTGGTGTGGTTGACTAGGTAGCTTCAGAAATTGTGAGAATTTATAGAGTGAATTATTTTCTTTCTCCTCCTCTCATTACATGTTCGTTCATTCTTGCATTTTATAGTTCTTATTTTTTACTAAGGAGCCCTGGTGGCCTAGTGGCAATAAGCTGTGCTGCAGTCCCTAAGGCATGCAGTTTGAATCCATCACTTGATCCTTGGCAGAAGGATGGGCAATCTACTTAATAACCAAATGCACAAAGTACTAAATAAGGAATCCCTGTGTGTGACTCAGTAGTTAATACTTTGAGCTACTAATCAAGAAGTTGAGCTGCTAATCAAGAGGTTGGATAAAGAAGGTTGGTAGTTCCAAGCCATGCAGGTTTCAAACAATGCAGGTTTAAATCCACCCAAAGTTGCCCTTGGAAGAAAGACTTATAAATCTACTTTTGAAAAGCCAGCAGCTCAAACCCAGTTTGGATGAGCATAGTTTACTTTGACGCACACATAGGTCTCAATGAATCAGAATTATGCACATCAGTTGGCTTTTTTTTTTTTTGGTAACATGTGTGTGTAAAATGGTATTTTGAGTAAAATAAAACTATAAGAAGTTCCTGGGTGTGTAACCCAAAGAAGTAAGAGCTATCATATGACTAAATATATTGATGCCTATGTTTATTGTGGCATTATTTATAATAGTGAAGAGTTAGAAACAATCCAAGCACTGATCATAAAATGAAATGCTAAGAAATTGTGGTGCATACACATAGAAGAGTTACTAGGCATTACTAAAAAGAGGCCTAGAAATAACATAATATAGCAAAATATGGAAATGAAAACAAATCATGCTGAGTGACATATGTCAGTCACAAAAGACCAATTATTATATGAATAATAGAATAAGAAATAATATAATAATACAATAATACAAGAATAATAATTATATGGTATGATATCATTGTTACTGTTATGTGTTATTGAATCTCTTGCAATTCAAGAGAATTGAATACCCTATGTACAACAGCTCTGCACTCTATCCTAAGCCAATCTCATTGTCTCTGACACACCTACCTCCATTACTCCTGTAACTGTCTCAATCCATCTCATCTGGGGTTTTCCTTTCCTGCACTATCCTTCTTACTTTCCAGGCATAATGTCATTCTCTAAGAACAGGTCCCTCCTGTCTCATATGCTCAGAGTATGTGAGACAGAACTTCAAAATCCTTGCCTTCAAGGGGCAGCTAGTTTTCATCCTCTCCAGGACAGATCTGTTTGTTCTCTTGGCAGTCTATGGTATTTTCAATGCTCTTCTCTAGTATCACAACTCGAAGGCATCTATTTTTCTTCTGTCATCCTTATTCACTGTTCAGCTCTCTGATGCATAGCAAGTAATTGCCGAGACCATGGCTGGGATTAGGCACACCTTAGTTTCTAGATTGACATCAATGCTCTTCAGTACTCCAGAGAGGTTCCTGACAGCAGATTTTCCTGATGCAATTAGTATTTTGATTTCCTGGCTACTGGTATCAAGAGTGTTAATGTGAAAAAAAAAAGGAGTGTTAATGTGAAGCCAAGCAATCTGAAGCTGTTAACACCCTCAATCTCTTCTTCATCTATCATGATGCTGCCAATTGGCCCAATGGTAAGAATCTTCAGGTTTTTTGATGTTGAGCTTCAATCCATATTGAGGGTTACTGTCCTTGACCTTCCACAGCAAATATTTCAGGTCTTCCTCAGTTTTAGCAAGCAAGGTGTGTCATCTGAATAGCACAGGTTATTGATGTGTTACTCCAATACTAATACCACATACCACCTCATAAAGTCCAACATCCTGAATGATATGTTCCAAACATAGATTGAAAAGATATGGAGATAGGATGCATCCCTGATGTACACCTTTTCTGATTTTGAAATATACAAAGTTTCCTTGCTCTATTCTGATGATTGCTTCCTGGTCAAAGAATATGTTTCACATAAGCACAAGCAAGTGTTCTGGGATCTCCATTTTCCTCAAAGTTAGCCATAATTTGTAGTCATCCACACAGTCAAATGCTTTTGCATAGTCAGTGAAACACAGATAGAAATTCCTCTGGTACTCTCTGCTTTCAGATAATATCCGTCTGACCTTAACTATAATGGCCCTAGTGACATGACCTCTTCTAAACCCTTCTTGCACATCTGGTAGTTCTTTGTCAATGTACTGGTCCAATAGTTTTTGGGTGATCTTCAGTAGATGTTGCTTGTGTGATGTTTTAGTGACATAATTCGAGAATTTGCACACTCTGTTGAATCACCATTTTTGGAATGAGAATAAATATGGATTGATTCCAGTCATTTGGCCCGATGGTTGTCCTCCAGATTTCCTACACAACCTAGTGAGCATGTCCAGGCTGAATCTGTTTGTTGAAATATATCAATTGGTATTCCATCAATTCCTGAGGTCTTGTGTTTTGCCAATTCCTTAAGAGTGGCTTGAACTCCTTCCATTGCTTCTTGATCATTGTTTCTTGAAATTCTTCTGTGTCAGCAAACTGTTTTTTGGTAAAGTGACTCTGTGTGCTCCTTCCATCATCTTTTTTTCTTTTTTTTCCCTTTTATTTGTTGAGCCTGAAATAAAATATTTTTTTTTAAAAATAATTATATTATACTGGTTTATATACAAAGTTTATATATATATTGTTTTTCACACTGGACCTTTCCTTTATCAATCCCTCCCTCCACCAGTTATTTAAGCCTCCCCCTTTTATCCTCATATGTGCTCTACAATAGTGTTCCTATGCAGTATTTGTTTTCATGAGACTGAGTTAACTTCGTGTAATGCTTTCCAGTTCCTCCCAAGTTAGGCAGTAATTTACAAAATCATTTTTCCTGCGTGCTGCATTGTATTCTATTGTATGAATGTACCATAATTTCTCAATCCATTCCATTGTGGTTGGACATTTGGGCTGTTTTCACTTTCTTGCTAATGTGAATGATAATATGACATTGGTGTACAAATTTCAATTTTATCTCAGTTCTCATTTTCTGAGCATATATTCCAAGCAGTGGAATAGCTGGGTCATAACCCAGTGATCTGCTTCCAGCCTCTTCCACCCCTCCTGGATTCTTATACTCAAACTACACTAATGGTTTTATACAATATTTATCCTGTCGGACTAAGTTAATTCATTCAGCATAATGCTCTCTAGTCCCTCCCTAGTTAGGTAATAATTTACAAAGTTCTTGCTTCTGCATGCTGCATAGTATTCCATTGTGTGAATCTAGGATAATTTCTCAATGCATTCATTTGTGGTTGGACATTTGGGCTGTTCCCATGTTCTTGTGATGGTGAATAATGCTGCTATGAACATTCATGTACAAATCTCAGTTTGTGCCTCAGTTCTCATATTCCCAGTATATTCCAAGTTGTGGAATAGCTGGATCATATGGAATTTCTATGTTCAGCTTTTTTTTTTAAGATTACAGCTTTATTTTCTTAATCATCTTTCAAAGAAAAAGCAATTTATATTTCCTGATTTTTATTTCTTTGCTGAAAAATTTTAATAGTTTTATCTTTTTTAGTTTTAATTTATTTATTTTTCATTTCAATGAACATCTACAGAGATTTTGGAATTCTATTCATTCATTGTTGCA